ATATCTGGAGGAAGGTTATAAGGGGTTAGGATTACTGGCCATAATGAATATTGTCTACCAGACATACCAAATGGAATAAAACCATCAGTGCATAGACCAAGATAGACATTCCGTTTGAACTTAGCAAAATCTGGGTATACCCTATTGAAGTGTTTCCATGCCTTTGCATCTGATGGATGAACAACTTCTCCATCTACTTGTGTATGTTCTGCATGCCATCTCATTGATGCAGCTGGCCTTTCAGATTGATAAAGCCGTTTCAACCTATCAGTTATAGGGAGATACCACATACGTTGGTACGATATCCTTTTACGCCCACCAGTTTGCGGCTTGTATCTTGGTTTTTGGCAAAATCGACATTCCTCCAGCTGATCATCATCTTTCCAAAAAATCATACAATTGTCAACACATACATCTATCATTTCAGAAGGTATACAAAAACTAAAAATCAACTTCTGTATTTCATAGTATGTCGCCGCTGCCAAGTTATCCTCCGGTAGATACTCTTTCAGAAGATCAGCCCAATCATCCATGCAAACCTTAGCCAGGTTATGATCTGTTTTAATTGACATCATCCTAGCTGCCAACGATAATTTAGACAGGCATTTTTTACATCTTTCGTAGATTGGCTGATTAGCATTGTCTAACAAATCATAAAATCGTTTGGCATCTACATTAGGTTCCTCAACAGCATTACTAGTATGCGTTTCATGAAATGCATCAGTCACCATCTCATGCATCCTATCATGATCTAGACCTTGATCAGATTGATACTGATTAGGCTGATGACCATAATTCGATTCATCAAAATCAACATGACTTTGATAATTACTACTACTACCAGCATTCCAATGAGTATTACTGCCATATCCTTCTCTATGTAGATACCAAACAAAAAATTGCGGCATAAACCCTCTATTTAATAAATGCGTTCACACGGTTTTGGTTAGTGTATACCTTGTATTCTTGCATTTCAAACAAGGACAAAACATCTTTCCGCTATCTTTCGTTCTCTCCATATTTGTGGCCTGATACATGAACATTTCTAACCCGTTCTTGAATTCTTCTATCAACGCCCCATCTGAATTTTTACGCATATACATCCAGCTTCTTAGCTCGTATATAGACATCTTGAAAATAACTCAAAAATACAATCTCTTTCTATTGTTTAGACAATAAAAGAGACGGTCTCTTGTGTCACGTAAGGCCGCGTAAATGGAGTAAACCTTTTAATATTATTACTTATTTTTTCAAATAAATTACTGCTAATTCGGGTTTCCAGCAATGGACAACCCAATATATTAGGATTTACAATGCTCTTATGTTTGAATGATGATGTGTTGTGAATGAAATAAGGAATGAAGATGTATTTATAACAAAATTTTGGACTTTACGACGCTTTTACGACGATTTTTTTACATCCCTTTTACATCCAACCTTCATATTACGATGATTTTACGTCGATTGTGTGATAAAATATTTCATCGACATTAGTTAGGTAAACATTTTTTAAATGTTCTTCACCTACCTTCTTTGTCGACGTAAAATCGTCGTAACTGTACATCAGATTTGGATCGTCGTATATTTGTCGTAATGTTACATCCAATTTACGATGATTTTGCAATATATATCAAATCTCTCTTTATCGATGTATAATCGTCGTAAAGCATCGTAAATTATACGTCAAAGTTACGATGATTTTTTTTACGACGGTTTTACGACGTTTTATTTTTTTCTCGTAAAATCATCGTAAAAGCGTGTATATTTGTGACGATTTATAAACCGTCGTAACAAATTGTTGGAAAACGATTGTTTTCTTGTAGTGGATCCATCGCAACTACACACAAAGATTTGATCTCTTATGAAATCTCACATCCTGATCTAATTACCAGTTAGTCAAATAACCATTTAGGATAACCTAAGAAAACGGATACAGTAGTTTAGGGTTGATTTTTTGTTTACCTTTGCAGATTCTCCCGTCGTTAGCAAGTTCTATGAGTTACATGGATCTTCAGGACGAAATTAGTAGTAAAGAATTATAGGTATTCCAGTTTTCCAAGTGAAGACAAGAAGCAATCTGATACAGGATTAACTTGCTTAAACCGCATGCTCCTACATTTTTATGTATTTTATTTATTTATTTTATATTAGATGCGAACAATCAAAAAAGGAAAACTTAAAGATTCTGTACATTAATCTGGATTTATAGCAATTTTTGAATAATTAAATGTGATTTATTGAAAACAAACTCTCTAAGAATTATTAATAACAAACTCTTTAAATATCTTTCGAATCGATTAATACGAACTTAATTTTTTTTAAAAACAAAAATATATATCTTCTCAAAACGATTAATAGGAACTTTGTTTTTTTTAAATGTATATATATATTCTTCAAATTACATAGTTTATGCTCATGAGTTATGAGATTTATGTCAAAAAAGGGTTAAAAACATATATATATATATATATATATAGGAGCGAAAATCATTGAGGGGGAGTGAGGAACAAATTAGAATTTTACTAAAGATGGAGCAAGAAGAAGAAAGGAAGAAAAAAATCCCTAGAAGAGGAACAATATCGAAATCAACATCGTCGTTTCCTCTCGACCTAATCTCAGAGGTACTCCTAAGGCTACCTGCAAAATCTGTTGTGAGATTTCGTTGCGTATCAAAGCTTTGGCCAGCAATCACCAGCGATCCATATTTCACCAACTCCTTCAAAACTCGCTGAAGGGACACGTTGTTCGTTTTCTCGATTCCGGAAGATCATCAGAACTCGAACGAGTCTAATCCTAATACTTTTAATTCTATGCCTATTTGTCGTTATCAAATGAAATCCTTAGAACATAGTTACTTCTACCCTACGGAATCTGTCCACGGCTTGATCTGCTTCCAAGACTCAGGAAAACCTGTACTATGGAACCCTACAATGAGACAGTTCTTAACCTTACCCAAACCAGAAGAAAGCTGGGAGGATATAACATGTTTTTTAGGATACGATCCAATTCAAGGTAAACACAAAGTGATGTGCATGCCTCTTTATAAAATTGGCGATGAGTGTCGGGTTTTAACATTGGGATCAGCTCAACAAACATGGAGAATGATCAAAACCAACCATAAGCATAAGCATGTTGTAAGATCTATATCACAGAGACTAAGAGTAGAACACAGAAAATTGCAAAAACACTCTTTGCCTTTTATTAAGAATCACTTAGACAATCCTTTAGATCTGTTTAATCAGAATTACACGACCTTGCACCTGCAACTCGATACTGACCAATTCTTAATCTATCCAATCTTAAACACAGCAACAGCTATGCAACTATCACAATGAACACGCTCACCAAAAACCCCAACCTCTCGTGCGGCTAGCTTTTTGTGACTTGTTCTCTCTAAAGGGTAAATGTTCAGAAACCCTTTTCACTACTCTTTATTCACGTTTTCCACCCTCGTGAATATCTTCTTTCCTTATTGTTGAGATCCTCTAATCTCCATATCTTGGATATTCGATCTCTAAAAACAGCTTCCTGCCAGCTCCAATTCTTCGCTGCCACGTCAGCACCACTTGAGTTATTCTCTTGTCTTCGACTTGAGTTTCCCGCATCCTTCGTACTCTGTGCTTGATATATCATGGTTTTTATGGTTTTTAACCATGGTATAAGTCTTATTTATAGAGTCTTTTTAGTGTCTTTCGAGTCTTTTGGAGTCTTTTCAGGTTATAGGTACGTTTGGAGCTTAACTGGAGACTTTGGAGCACTTTGGAGCTTAATCAGGATCAAATTCGTCAAGTATGGATTTTGTGCTTTAGTGACGCTCGACACCATGGAGAGTGACGCGCGACACTTGTTAGAGAAATAAGGAAAAGGCGATTTTGTTTCCTATTTGAAGAAGGAGTTGGGCCCAAACGTTTTCAAGGAAGCCCAAAACGTGTCTTAGAGATATATATAGGGTTTTTATTCCCTTTTTACGATTACCTTAGATTTTCTTAGAGAGAGTTTTTGTTTTTGAGAGTTTTTGGGGAGACAAGTCTGAAACTCTGTTCCGGAGAGAGAAGATTTCGAACCCCTGTTTATTAATCTATTTACTGCTTACTGCAAGCTATTCAATCATGCTTATTGCTTCAATCTTCATGTCTGAGTAGTTTGTTTGTTAGGTTTAGGGTTCTCATAAAGGATTCCATTGGATGTTAGATTGATTGGTTAGTTAGGGTTCATAATCTATTTAGTTCTTCACCATAGGTTGTTCTTAAAGCTAATTCTGGATTGGCCACCTAGAACTTAGATCTTAGGTTGCTTAATTGACACGGAAGTGTAATTGAATAACTGGAAAGAACCTAGGGTGAGCAAAGTAGCTATTCGCAAAGGAATTTGGTTTAAATACTTTGTGAACATATCGAACTTGAGCATTAAAGCTGGTTTAAATCTTTAGGGTTTGCAAAGGAATTTGGAATTCTAGGATTTTAACTTAGATAATTCTCACAACGGAAGTTGGTTAATTATAATTTTGTGATTCGAGTTCAAGAACCGTGCTTAAACCTGAACCCTGATTTATCGATTGATCTGCATGCATTGATTTCCTGAGAAACGCCCTAAGCCTAATCTCCATCCATCTGAATCTTACAAACCGTTTTTATTGCTGCTTAGTCTAATTCTGTTGCATTGCTATTCATTTACAATATTTCTGCTTAGCGTAATTCAATCTCTATAAGGTTTATTGAGTGATCTCTTGTCTCTGTGGTTCGACCCCTACATACTACAACTGCACATCTGTGCTCTTGCAGAGTAGCTTAGAGATTAAACTTTGAGCATATCAAGTTTTGGCGCCGTTGCCGGGGACTTGATTTTCGCCATTAAACTTTAGTTCTTGAGTTTCGACTAAGTTTTTTTTAGTGTCGAGCGACACCAGCATTGGTGTCGCGCGACACCCGTTGTTTTTCTTAATTTTATTTTTGCTTTGTTACTTACATTGTTCTTTCTCTTTGTCTCAGAAACTATCAAAGATGGAGAACGCATTGGCATTGATTCGTGATGATGCTGGAGTCTGGAGAGACCAAGAGGGTCATGTGTGCAATGAGAGAGGTCAGCGACTTGATGGACAGGGTAACATCATCAGGACGCTGGGTGACTACAACAGGCCTGAGCAATTCTATGCAAATCGGTCTGCGATTCGCGCTCCTGCGTTTCAGAGGAATGATTTTGAGCTCAAGCCTGTGTATTACACTCTTGTGGGTCAGCATCCTTTCCATGGCCACTCTCATGAGCACCCTATGGATCACATCGAGAGGTTTGAGGATTTGGTCACCAGCATCAAATACAATGGAGTGTCCAATGATTTCCTCCTCTGCAAGCTGTTTCCTTACTCTCTTGCTGGAGAAGCAGCTAACTGGTTGAAGCAGTTGGAGCCAGGATCACTCACTACTTGGGAAGAGACCAGGAATGCCTTCCTGCACAATTTTTTCGATGATGCTAGGTCTGAGGAGTTGAGGACGAAAATTTCGACCTTCTCTCAGGAACCAACTGAAGCGTTCAAAGCTTCCTGGGTGCGATTCAAATCGTACCAGCGAGACTGTCCCCATCATGGCTTCAGCGATGTGCAGTTGCTGGGTATTTTCTTTAGAGGTATCGACTGGAGGTATCAGATGGCTCTTGATGCAGCGAGCAATGGAAACTTCAACACCAGATACCCAGACGAAGCTGTTGAGCTCATCGAAAACTTGGCATCTAGCAATAGTACCAAGAATGCAGACTATCAACGAAGGAAGCAGGCTGGGAACCTGGATGGATCGCAAATTGCCGAGGTGAAGGCTAAGCTTGACTCTGTGCATAGTCTTCTTGTGGGTAAGAAATCTGTCAGATACCCTGCAGGAGTTCAGAATTTCGGACCAGATGAAGCTTTTGAGGAAGAAGATGTTAACTTCATCAATGGAGCTGGATTTCAGGGTCACAGATTTGGTTCTGGGCAAGGGAACACGAATTACAATGGAAATAATCAGAGGAGTACCTTCACAGGTAATCAGAACTCTTCTGGTTACAGCTCCAAACCTCAGTACCAGACATCCTACTCCAACAACAGGTTTTCAAGGAACTATGGTTCTCTTCCTACTCAAACTCCAGATAATGAGGTGAAGTCAATGCTGGAACAGATTTTGGAAGGTCAGTAGAAGATGACTGTGGATTTCAATGGGAAGATTTATGCTCTATATCTGGATCTGAATGGAAAAATTGAAGTTCTGAACACTCATGTCAAGAAGCTTGATACTCAGGTTGCTCAGACAGCAGAGTCTGTAAAAAGGCAAGAAGGATTCCTTCCTGGGAAGACTGATACTAATCCTAGGCATTACTGCAGTGCCATCTCGTCAAGGAGTGGTAAAAAGTTGACTCCTGTGCTGAAAAAGGGTGTTTCTGAGGATGAAATCGTGGAGTTTGACGAATCTGAAAAAAATTTCGAAACTGCAGAGCCAGTGTCGAGCGACACCACAACCAGTGTCGCGCGTCACCAATTGCAGAGCAAAGCTAATATTGCTCAAAGTCCGAAATCTGCTGAGGAAAAGGTTTACAAACCTAAGGTTCCTTACCCAAGGAGTCCTAGGAAGTCCAAGCAGGAGCTAGATGATGCCAGATGCAAGGCTTTGATGGAGAAGCTTGTGATTGAGATTCCTTTGGTTGATGCTGTGAAGATTGCTCCTACTCTCAGACACTATGTGAAGAAGATGGTGACTAATAATGTGGGTCATGAGGAAGGAGCGATGATGATCTCTGAACATGTCAGTTCTGTGATTCATAATAAGATTCCAGAAAAGCTCTCGGACCCAGGAAGTTTTGTTTTGGACTGCTCTATCTTCTCAGAGAGGTTCAAGAGATCGCTGTGTGATCTTGGTTCGAGTGTCAACCTCATGCCACACTCTGTAGCTGTTAGCCTTGGGATGACTGACTTCAAGCCAACTAAGATCTCTTTGATCCTAGCAGATCGGTCTAAAAGAATCCCAAAAGGTGTCTTGGAAGATGTTCCAATCAAAGTTGGTGATTGCATAATTCCTACAGATTTCGTGGTTCTGCAATATGGAGAGGAACCCAAAGATCCTCTTATCCTGGGAAGATCGTTTTTAGCTACAGCTGGAGCGGTGATTGATGTCAAGCATGGTAACCTTGATCTCCACCTGGGAGATACCATCATGACTTTCAAGATGGAGAAGCTGAAGGATCCCACCATAGATGGTCAGACATTCCAAGTCACTGCAATACCTGAAGTGATAGTTGGAGATCAGAACGTGTTTGATGCTGAGATGGTGAGTGATCAATCTGAGTTGACGAAAACGTCTACAGAACCAGTGACTGCTGTTGATCAGGAAGCTCCAAACATTGCACTCCATCCATCTCCACCAAAGCAAAGGTACACACCTCTTGAACCTAAGCCTAATTCTCGTGATATCATTGGAACTGATTCAAAGGATGCAGGCTCTGTCTCACGACGCAAGCTACGAGATTATCGTAGAGCACTTGGTTTTTCGTTTGATGATATTGCAGGGAATAGGTCAAGGCCACCCAAACACAGATCTCACCCTGGTGCTATTCCTGCATTCCTTGGACGACCTCATGCGCACAACGCTTACACACCACCATGGATGAGACGAATTTCACAGAGGCACTCTTTGCCACTGTCTGATCCACCAGATGCATAGTCTATCCATAGTCAAGCTAATGACTTTAAACAAGCGCTTGGTGGAAGGCAATCCACTGGTGAGTCTGTACATAAGTCTTTTTGTTTCAGTTGATTTTCGTTTTTCTTTTCGTGTCTCAGGTGAAGCAGATATTAGTGTCGAGCGACACCACCTTCGGTGTCGCTTGTCACTTGCTTCTATTCAAAAAAAAAAAAAAAGAAAAAATTTAGGAAATCAGGCAACCGGAGTCAAACCAGAAATTCGGATTGGTCTGCTGCAATTCGGTACGAGGAAAACAAGTGTCGCACGACACCATCATCAGTGTCGCGCGACACCATCATTGCAGCCAGGTAAGTTCTCTGTTTTTCCTGCGTTTCTCTGTTTCTTTTATTTTGTTTCGCCACCTTCGGACTAGATAACACTGGGGACAGTGTTATTCAAGTCTGGGGGAGGTAGTTGCTGACATTGTGTTTGTTTTTCTTAAGAGTCAGTTGTGTCAAAACGTTTTTGAGTCAAAACCTGTTGGAGATCATGATGCTTTTCCTGGAATTATTGTGCTGACCTTTCACCTAAGTGACCACTGCTGCAGATTCAGTCTAGATCCGACTAATGAAAAATCCAAAGGCTGACCAGTTCACTAGAGGCGTTCATGTTTCCAACAGAATCCACTAACCTGAGCTAAGTTCTGAACTTCACTTTTAACTCGCTGATGTGACTAATGCCTTAGAGCTTGATTCCTCGTTCATACTTGATCAATGAAAGCCTGTGTGAAATTTAATGTTGGTATTTCTCTCCCTTGTAACGAGCTAAGAAGAAGAAAAACAAAGAAAAAGGCGAAAAGATTGAGATGATTTTCGCTTAGGAGTGAAGGGCTAGGAATGTTTCCAAGGATCTCATTATTTCACTTCTAAGTTGGAATGATCACACAAAGGAAGGAAGTGAGGGGTAGGAATGTTTCCCATGACCCCACTATTCGCTGAAAACCTTTGATACAAGGTAAAGGGACAACTTGGGGACTTGGTGGCAAACACCATCAGTACTCGCAGCTTTACCCTTATCGAGTATATGCCATAAAAAAATGATGATGAGTGTGCGAAAAGAATAAGTCTGGGGGAGAGAAAAGTACCAAAGTTTGTATGGCTGATTTGTTTGAGTACAGAATGGGAAAGAATCTAGAAGGTTCTTGGCATCTGAATCATCAGTGAGATCCAGCGATGAAGGTTTATGGACCATGTTGTGGAATTTTGGACTTAATCTGGAAAGCTGTGAATGTCTATGGAGAAGTACATGGTGGTTTGATTTGGAATGATGAAGCAGTAGTTGAGTTGCAGGGTGATCAGTCAAAAGCGATGTTCCAATGAAAGGTTGAGTCTCTGTGTTTTCAAACTTCTTTCTCTTGTTTGGTGTTATGTTTGCTTGAGGGCAAGCAAATGCTAAGTCTGGGGGAGTTGATATATCATGGTTTTTATGGTTTTTAACCATGGTATAAGTCTTATTTATAGAGTCTTTTTAGTGTCTTTCGAGTCTTTTGGAGTCTTTTCAGGTTATAGGTACGTTTGGAGCTTAACTGGAGACTTTGGAGCACTTTGGAGCTTAATCAGGATCAAATTCGTCAAGTATGGATTTTGTGCTTTAGTGACGCTCGACACCATGGAGAGTGACGCGCGACACTTGTTAGAGAAATAAGGAAAAGGCGATTTTGTTTCCTATTTGAAGAAGGAGTTGGGCCCAAACGTTTTCAAGGAAGCCCAAAACGTGTCTTAGAGATATATATAGGGTTTTTATTCCCTTTTTACGATTACCTTAGATTTTCTTAGAGAGAGTTTTTGTTTTTGAGAGTTTTTGGGGAGACAAGTCTGAAACTCTGTTCCGGAGAGAGAAGATTTCGAACCCCTGTTTATTAATCTATTTACTGCTTACTGCAAGCTATTCAATCATGCTTATTGCTTCAATCTTCATGTCTGAGTAGTTTGTTTGTTAGGTTTAGGGTTCTCATAAAGGATTCCATTGGATGTTAGATTGATTGGTTAGTTAGGGTTCATAATCTATTTAGTTCTTCACCATAGGTTGTTCTTAAAGCTAATTCTGGATTGGCCACCTAGAACTTAGATCTTAGGTTGCTTAATTGACACGGAAGTGTAATTGAATAACTGGAAAGAACCTAGGGTGAGCAAAGTAGCTATTCGCAAAGGAATTTGGTTTAAATACTTTGTGAACATATCGAACTTGAGCATTAAAGCTGGTTTAAATCTTTAGGGTTTGCAAAGGAATTTGGAATTCTAGGATTTTAACTTAGATAATTCTCACAACGGAAGTTGGTTAATTATAATTTTGTGATTCGAGTTCAAGAACCGTGCTTAAACCTGAACCCTGATTTATCGATTGATCTGCATGCATTGATTTCCTGAGAAACGCCCTAAGCCTAATCTCCATCCATCTGAATCTTACAAACCGTTTTTATTGCTGCTTAGTCTAATTCTGTTGCATTGCTATTCATTTACAATATTTATGCTTAGCGTAATTCAATCTCTATAAGGTTTATTGAGTGATCTCTTGTCTCTGTGGTTCGACCCCTACATACTACAACTGCACATCTGTGCTCTTGCAGAGTAGCTTAGGGATTAAACTTTGAGCATATCAGTGCTACACATGTCTCCCTGTTGAACGTCAACTCCTTAACTCTTACATTCTCCCCATTTGTATTTGAATATGTCACTCCAAGCAACCTGCATAGGGAATCTAACACACAGGCATACAAACAACCATGTATAGCCACAACCAAGGAATTTTCAAGGATCACGAGATAACCAAAAACCAGCACATTCAATCCCAAAAGATCAACCAAGGTACTTAAATAAAAACAAACACAACCGAAACACAAACGGGAATCAACTTAGAGTTTAGCACAACACATGCAAATCAGAAATTTTCATCAATTCTAGTTCCCAGCCCAGACGTCCTCATTCTCGGACTCGTTGTCCTGCTCCCCCTCAGGATGTGCCTTGCCTTTCTCAGAACCCATCTCGGCGTACTCTCCCCCTGCTTGAGTGCATATTCAGATACAACATGACAATACACATCAACCTTGAAAGTCAGAGACAGAACACTTACCTTTGACACGCAGTTGAATGCGTTTGAGCCAGGTAGCGAGCTGATCCAAGTCCGCTGCAAGTGATGGTGCGGTTTGAGGTTCATCAGCTTCATCACCTCGTCCTCCCTTGGGATCCAGCGTGATTTTGAGAGGAAATCTTTCCAAAGGGCGGTCTCCTCGATGACCGGGGAGCACACGTTGAAAGCGAAGGAGCTGGAAAATGAGATTGGGAAACATGAGTTTGTTTGTTGACCATTTCCAGAGTCCGCGCTGCAGCCAATATCTGATCATACACCAGCTTCCCGAAGTTGAATTTGCGACCCTGGATGATGTAGGCGAGGAGGCGAATCCTTTCTTTGACCATGGTAGTGTTATTGGTCGTAGGCATTCAATTGCAACAGCACAGCTTGTAAAACACCCCATAGAGAGGAGTGAGATGACGAGACCGAAAGCCTTTCCAGCGACTCTTGCGTCCCCCCGAGACCAACTGCACAGCTTCATCAATGTGGATCTGCTCCTAATCACCATGTGGAAGCTAATCGTCGACGAGGAACATCTGATTGATAACCTCAGGAGTGAACTCGAACATGCAGCCACAAATGTAGACGAGATTGGTCCCATTGTGATACTCCAGGTCACCAACATTAGCGTAGAACTCCTGCACAACAGTCGGACGATAGGGCTCCACATCCAGGACGGTGTAAATCAAACCGACAGCATCCAAAATCTTCCGAGCTTCCACAAGTTTAGGGTCATCCAAAAACTTGTTCCCTCACGTAGTTGACACGAACACATCAAGTTTTTGGCGCCGTTGCCGGGGATTTGTTTCGCTGCCTTTTGCTATTTTTCTTGTTTTAACTTCTGTTCTAGACACCTGATCTCTAGTTCTTTCTTAAAGTTTTTCTGAACTATCTTTCCCTTCTTTTTTTTTTCTCTGAATTGCATGAATACCAGGCGTAGACCTGCAGGAGACATTCCAATTCTAGACAAGATAGACATACACGAAAGAGAACTTTGAAGACTTAGACGAACGCAAGGAATGGCCAACGACGACCAGCCTGGAGATCCTATTAATCAAAATTTACATATGGACCAAGACGGGTCCGAACATGGAGAAAACGAAGAGAATGATCACATAGAAGGTGATCATGCTCGACAAGATGGAGGAGGATGAGGTTCTTCCAAGAAACCACCAGAACTGAGAGAGAGAAGGACGTGAAGACCTTGATCCACCCATCAATGCAGCCGATGGTGACCACCCAGCAATGCAGTCGAATGAACGCATTCAACACCCCATTCCGCCAGCAAATCAACACCGAAGACAAGCCAAGAACCATCGCATAGCTGATTTTGATGCACCTACTCAAAATTTTCAGAATCGATCTGCGATTCAAGTACCATTTCCAAACCGGAATGAGTTTGAAGTCAAGCCTCAAATCATCTCATTGGTGAAGCAAAACCAGTTCCATGGAGTTCCTTTTGAGCACCCAATGGACCATATCGAGCTTTTTGAAGAAATTTGCAGCATGATGAGAACAAACCAAGTTCCACCTGACTATTTAAAGTGTAAGTTGTTCCCTTTTTCATTAGCAGATAAAGCTCACCGTTGGTTGAAGTCTTTGCCTGCAGGATCGATTACCAATTGGGAAGAATGTAGAACTGCTTTCCTAAACCACTTCTACACTAAGTCAAGGTCGAACAATTTGAGAACGAAAATCTCAACCTTTCAACAAGGGCCAACTGAATCTTTCTATGAAGCTTGGGAACGTTTTAAGGAATATGAACGTGACTGCCCTCACCATGGATTCCATGGATCAAGCCTTCTGAGCACATTTTACCGAGGTTTGCAACCAAAATACAAACTTTCACTTGATACAGCTAGAAATGGAGATTTTGGGCAAAAGACGATAACCCAAGGAAGAGCTCTCAT